GAGGCGCGGCTCGCCCCTCCGCTCCCTTCCCAAGGACTCGGGACCTGGGGCTCCGCGAGCGCTGGTGTGCCTGCAGGAAAGCGTCGCTTGCGCCCGTTCGCTCCCGGACAAGGAGTCGGGGGTCCTCTGCCCCGGCCGGCGCTCGCCAGACCCCCCGGCGCCCTCGGACTTTTCGCGGCGCGGCGCGGGGCGGGGCGGGCGGGGCGCGCAGAGCCGCGCCTGCAGCGGGTGGCGCGCCGAGGCGGCGGCGGCGGCGGCGGAGTTGGGGTCCATTGTCTGCGCGCGGGCGGGGGCGGCAGGTGCCAGCCGTGGAGGCGGGGGAGGGGCCGGGCCAGGCTGCCGAGATGGCCTGGCCGTGCATCAGCCGCGCCTGCTGCATTGCCCGCTTCTGGAACCAGCTGGACAAAGCCGACATCGCCGTGCCTTTGGTCTTCACCAAGTACTCCGAAGCCACCGACATCCCAGGGACGCAGGTGGTCCTGCAGCAGCAGCCCCACCCGCCCTCGGCCATCGAGAGCCAGCCGGCGGCCCTCGGGGGTGACTTGGACGGGGCCTCCAGGGCGGCCCCCGCAGCGGCTGACCATGCCCCCGGGGCCTCGGGCGGGCCGCCGAAAGCCGGGCAGCCCCAGCCCAAGGAGCCAGTGTCGGCCGACTCGGTGATGCGCCAGGACTACAAGCCGTGGAAGGTGCAGAGGCCGGAGCCAAGCTACAAGCCGCGAAGCGAGTACCAGCCGTCGGAGACCCCCTTCCAGAAGGAGAGCCAGTACCAGAAGGACTTCCGCCCCTGGCCCATCCCCAAGAGAGGGGACCACCCCTGGATCCCGAAGCAGATGCCGATTCCCGCTCTGGAAGCGGATAAGGGGCCGAAAGAGAGATCCGGCAGCCAGGAGAGGAGGAGGAAGGCCCAGGTGGGCCCAGAGGAGGAACCAGGGAGAGAGGAGGTGGCGGCGGCCGGCAAGCCGAGCTGGCCCGAGGATGGAAAGGCGAAGAAGACCAACAAGCGGTTCTATCTGGCAGAGGACGGGGTGCAGGAGCAGCAGCCCCCCGGGACCTCCGGGCCCCCGGAGGGCAGCAAAGGGCGAGCGGCCGTGGATGCGCTCAACTGGCAGATCAAGGAAGAAGTCACGGCACGGGTGAGCACATCCTCCTACAGGTGAGAAGCCAAAACAGGTGGGGCAGCCTGCTTAGTGATGTTCTTGTCCTGGCCTCCTCCAGCCTCCCTGTGAGGTGGGCTTCCCCGAGGCTGGGGAGGGGGCTGGCTGGCTGGCTGAGCTGGGGGCTGCGTGGGCAGCCACCAGCGCCACGCACCTGCCACAATTCCAGGTTCTCCTGCCTGAGGCTCATTGCCGTGGGGAAGGCCAGCTTGCTTGCTCGAGGCCTAGTCCATCCTTGGCCTCTTCCATGAAAAGATTCTCACCAGGTAGGGCTGGGAATTCTCCCCTTCGGCACCTTGGAGGGCCCCTGCAACTCAGAGTAGGTGATTCTGAGCCACAGGGATGGATGGGCAGACTAGAAGGCTGTTGTGTCTCTTTTTCGGAATGGTTGTGCCCTTCCTGTGATTGGAGATCACAAACGGGTGGGCAATGTGGCCGCTCCTGATGGTTTGGAGTGTACCACCCATTAGCTTCAGCCAACCTGGACAATGGCAAGGGGAGTATAGGCCTTGCAGTCCATCTGGGGGCTGCCAAGTTGCCTACCCCAGTCATGGTGGATTGGGCCCCCCTGCTACCAAGCATAGGGTTCTTTTTGTGTTGTCCGCCTCCGGAGCAAACTGCCTGTGCAGAGCTAATGTGGACACCCTAATGGGCATTTGCTTGCCTGACTGGCTGGCATCAAAATGCAGCGTATTTCCTGCGTTCCAAATGGGGAGATTTCTGCTCGGGATTTTGTAATAGAATCTGAAATCTGAGCTTAGGTACAGATTTCCCTTCTAAAACTGAATTGTCACACCCAAATGGAAGTGTGACATTTGCTGCAGCGGTGCTACTGGCTTGTCCAAACTCTGCGCCTTTAGAATTTGAGGGTAAATCTGCGGTGTAGCTGAACCGGGAATTGTAGGGACCCGGGTCCAAAATTTTATGCTGAGCAGGGATGTGCACCTCTGTTCAGCCACCTCAGATGTCCTTGTTCCCACTGAGCTTAGCAGTAACATGGGTTGCTGCTTGTTTTCCAAGCAACAAGTCTTTCTCCTCGTGGTAACAACAGACATGATCTTGGATGGGCCACCAGGACTCATTGGCTTCACAAAAGCATTTCTCAAGAAATGGAAGCCCCCAGAAGTGGTTTGATCTCTGTCAACACTGTGGCCTGCAATTTTGAATTTTCAGTGGGGTGTGGCTATGGGGAGCTTAAAAGTGCTGGTGCTGGTTTCATCTCAGTGGGAAGATTATTGTGCGTGATTGTCCTGAGCTGCAGAGCATGTGTCCCTTCCAGGAAGGCCTTGAGAAGCTGATGCCAAATGGATGTGCAGCTAGTGTGGTGCTGACCGTGTGGACTGTGATTCAGGAGATCCGGGTTCTAGTTCATGCTCCCTGGGTGACTTTGGGGCAAGCATTGATGCTCGGCCGAACCTACCCTGCAGGGTTGTTGCTGAGGATAAAATGGGGAGGAGGAGCACTCTGGCCTCAGCAAGAAGAGATCTTGACCTTCCTCAAAGGCTGTCACAGAGAGGAAGGTCAAGATCCCTTCCTGCTGATGCCGGAGTGCAGGACATGGAATAATCAGTTCAAGTTGGACAACCCAGATTCAGGCTGGACATCAGGAGAAGCTTCCTCCCTGCCAGAGCAAGACGGCAGTGGGACCTGCTGCCTGGAGAGGTGGGGGGCTCTCCCACACTGGGGGCATTCAAGGCGAAACTGCCAGCCATCTGAGTGGGATGGTGTGACTTGGTGTCCTGCACCAGCAGGGGGTGGACTAGATGGCCTTCCTGGCCCTTCCAACTCTACTCTTCTAGGATACCGATTCCTTGGAGGAACAAGGGCAGGCTATAAATGCAGGAATAATTAAATGGGGGCGAGGGAGAAAAGACTCAGCTTAATCCATTGAGGGGATGGAGTGTTCAGGGCTGCAGTGCTAAAGGTGCTCACAGACGGGCAGAAGGAAGTGAAGAGTAGACCTTCCATTCTGCCAGCAAAGAGGAGGTCCGCCAGTGGAATGCGAGCCCCCGGGCGTGCCAGAGAAATGCCCTGCCGTTCCCCTGGAGCTGTTCCGCCAGCCATGCAGGCCCTCCTGAGGCACGTCCAGAAGGCTCTGGTGCAGCTCAGGCAGGCTTGGATCCAGGGTGCTGAGAGACGCCTTGTTCTTCAGCATGCCTCCAAACCTTAACCCCAACCCAGGAGCTGGTTGGTGGATTCCTGTAGGAATTCCCCCTGCAAGGGGGCAACAAAGCCCAGCAGCATCCCCTCCTTTCTGTCTGCAGTGAACCAGCAGAGCTTTGGATGTCGAGGGAGCTGCTGCAGCCAGCCACTGAAAACAGTCAATTAACGCAGTTTTGCGTGTGAATAAACAACAGGTCTGGATGGGGCCCAGTCTTTGCTTTGCTTTGCTTTAAGACAGAGCCACAGTCTGTCATAATCTTGGCTGGCACCCTGATTGGTAGATGCAAATTCTGCATGCGCGGTTGCTTGGGATCCAGTCTCAGGGGAATGGCCCTGCAGGCTGTGGAGATGGGAACTGTAGTCCACCCAGGACTCCCAATCATTTGGCGGGCTACAGGTGGGCGAAGGCTGAGTTGGAGCTTTCTGCATCTGAAGCACAAGGCTTGAACACCAAGCTTCAAGCCCTTTCCTGGATTTCTGAATCACAACAGCCTCTTTCTGTCTTCTGGTCCCTGGCCCAGCATCTTTGGAATGGATGCTGCTCTGTCTACCCACTGTTCCAACACCTGCTGCATTTTTTTCAGCCTGCAGCCCTCTTCTTGGTTCTTGGTTATGCTCCTCTCCAACCTCTATTCTGTCCTGTTTCTGTCTCAGTCCCGCTCTCTCTCTGTCCCAGCCTCCTCAGCCCCAGAGGGTCCCTGTTCTCCATGCTCATCCAAGGATCCCAGTCAGGCTGGGATTTGACTTGAGGATGCGCTCCCAAAGGAGACGCCAGGGAGAGCTGGAAAGGGCCCCCAAAGAGTTTGAATTTCTAAGACTCTGACCTGCAGATTTCTGCAACAGCGTAACATTTCCCAGGCTGCACAGATGCTGAAGGCTTCGTAGGCCATTTTTTAAACTTTCCATAATTTTATGCAAATTTATTCACCAGAAAAGATGGCAAATGAACAAAAATGATGAAAAAGCAACCAAAACTGTGTATTTTTCAGGGATTTGTGTGTTTGAAGGAATTTGTGGGTTTGGAGGAGTCTGCATATTCACAGATGCGAATTTGCGCAAATGCATGCAAATATATTTCTACAAAATTAGTGGACAACAGAGTGTAATATATCAGGCAATCCATGTTATGTAGACAGAATGGATTTTGCAGCTCCTGTACAGCTGTGAAACTGCATGCGTGCTCAGATCTCAGTCCTGCAGCACTGAATACAGCCTAATTCTGAGAAAGTGTCTAGAATGGAGCCTAAGGCTCTTCCTTATGAAATTCCAAATTAGGGAACCGGGAAGTCTCCTCATCAGGGCTTTAAGGCAGTGCATTAAGGTGGCTAAGATGACTTGGAACCTTCATCATTCCGGCTGCAAACTCAGGTGCTGGGTGCTGATGACCACGTGGCCGGACTGGGAGCCTTGGGAAATAAAATCGAGGCATCAGCGTGCTTGGAGGAACCACACACTTTGTGCAAATACAGAACAGGTTTTAGAGAAAGACTCTTTTCTTCTTGGGGCAGCAGCAGTATCCCAGAATCGTCCTGTGAGGACTGAGCATGCTCCGCGAGCATCGATGGTGAGTGTCTTGACGCTTCTTTGGAAGACGGGGCTGCTCACCCTCTCCATGAGAAGGCAGCGAGGGGAGCTTCCCGTTTGTTAGCCTCTTGTGCTGAAGGGCAGCTTGAGGCTAACTTAGGATGCAAAGCTCTGCATGTGTAGGCAGAAAACAGTCCTTCAGCTCCCAGCATGCCCCAGGCAGCCATGCTGCAGCTTTGCCAGCTGGGGAATCTTGGGAGCTGTAGGACCTTTTTCTGGTTAAGCAATGCGTGAGTCATGAAGGGGCAGCGAAGCAGTGGCCAAACTGCAGGACCCACAAGGCTGTCCTGGACATGCCATCCTCTCCTGTCTGACCTTGCAGAGGGTTGTAGCCTAAGCTCAACTTCACATAATAATAGGCAGACTCTTCCTTGGTTGTTCTTGCTGGTCGCAAAGTCATGCCCGACCCTTCATGACCCCATGGACAACACTCCTCCAGGCCTTCCTGTCTGCCACCATCCCCCGGAGTCCACCCAAGCTCACACCAACTGCTTCAGTGACTCCATCCAGCCACCTCATCCTCGGCCGCCCCCTCCTTCTTTTGCCATCAATTGTTCCCAGCATCGGGCTCTTCTCCAGGGAGTCCTTCCTTCTCATGAGGTGGCCAGAGTAAATGAGTGTCATCTTCAGGATCTGGCCTTCTAAAGAGCAGTCAGGCTGATCTCCTCTAGGACTGACCGGTTTGATCACCTTGCGGTCCAAGGGACTTGCAGGAGTTTCCTTGGTTGTAGTTGACCCTAGCTAGCTAGCTGGCTTGCTTGCTTGCTTTAAAATTTAATTTATATCTCTCCCTGCCACTGGCTACTGGGATGCATCCAGATAGGATTTGTGCTCTAATGTCTCTGATGCGCTGATCTTTCTTTCGGCTTTCCGGGTCTCTGTTGTTATCCATTTGCTATATTTGGGCACAACGGAGAGCTGGCAGTCCTCACACGGAGAACTCGATAGGTTTCCTTACCGCCCTTGCGCATCAGCATAATGTCACGCTCTCATGGCTGGGAAGACAATCAGGTCGGCAACTTGAAATAGAATTGTAGAACCAGATGGCATTATCTTTAATTAAATGGGACATTGTAAATGGTTTCTCGGATTGAAGTGTGGCATGAGAGAATTGCAGATCGGTCCTCTTTAACAAGCGTTCCTTCTGCACCGTGAGCTCCTTGGCTGAATATTATGCCAAACAAGTCTCAGACTCTACATAATCCTCAGGGGTCTTGAAACCGTGCAGTGGCATTTTGTAGCTGTTAAAATG